ATTTTTTTCAAAAAGGGGGGCTCGAGCCCCCGAGCCCGGCCGTTCAGCAGACCCTGACATATAGGCTTCTAAATAAGCATATTTTTCGCCTGACTGTAAATTTGAGAATTTCTAATTTTCCAACAAACGCATAAAAAGGTACGACTTACCAAAAAATCGAGAAAAAATACCGGAAAATTATGTCAATTCAGCAACATTTGTAAATCGCTGGTATCGAATAAAAAATACCCCCCCCCCCCCCCAATCAGTACGCCAGCGTTCAGGGGCTTATGAGTTTCTCACCCCCATAACAAAAAACAGACACGCTTTGCCTTTTCCATTCTCTCACAATTGTGTCCACGATATGCGCGTATTGCTATTATAAAAACCTCCATTGAATAATTGATAAATATAGGAAGCATGCGCAATGTTTAGGAAATTTAATTCCTGTTAACCTTCCTTTTCTTTGAATGGAATTGTACCGTACCGTACCGAGGAGTGGGGGGATGATCGGTGATAGCCATCACATACCAGCACTAATTTATGCAAGCGCGTGCGATCGCGCACGCACAAACACACAACACACACACGCACACACACACACACACACACGCACCCGCGCACGCACACACACAACAAACACACATATACCCAAACTCATGTGCATAAATGTATACATGCATACACACTGTAAAAAAGAATTTGTTCATTGGTAATTTTTACGTATTTTTTCCATGTAGAATTTACTTGAAAACATTAGTTTTGCCACTTATGCACTAAATTTAAGTCTTGCTAACTCATACTTTCAATTTAGTAGAACATACGTGGAATATTTAAGTAAAATCAAATACATAAGAACTTTAAGTAATTTCAGCTTGTATTAATTTAGTAATTTTAACTCAAAATCAGAAATTATACGTATTACTCAAACAATTTATGTTGATTATTCTTATCTTTTTAAAGTAAGGACCGATGCAGTGCGTAATAGAAATATTTACATAATTCATGAATATTCATTAAGACCAAATTAAACTCTTTTTTTAAATAAAACAATTCTTTTTTGTGGTTGAATGAAAATTTAAGGACTTTAAAACATTTACTAATTCATTTAACATGGCTAAGCAAAGACAAGACAATTTTTAATTGTTACCCAGTTCAAAACAAATCAAAACTTGATATTTCAGGAAATTGTCAACCAATTTTCCTTTTAAGATGCTACGATCAAGTATATATAAAATTTGGAGCCTTTCAATATGTGTCGAATTGAAGCGTATGTAATAGTTTGTGATGGTGGTAGATATATATATATATATATATATATATACATATAATACGGTTAAATCTTAAATAGAAGTATAGAATGATTAGTGGATGTTACTTGTTAAATTAGATGGGTTACCCGGTACCAAATCGTGCAATATGTAATCCTATCATAGCTTTTTTTTTAATCATCTAAAATGATTACAATACTTAAATTATTTACGTTAATGTAACTCGATTTAACTGAGTAAAAAATTATTCAGCAAAATAAGTAAATTCTACTTAAGATGCCGTAGGTAATATTTACTTAATAAAAATAAGGCAATTCTTTTCCTCAATTTTATTGAGTTATTTCGACTATTATTTTTTTACAGTGCATACAGTCATGCACGCACATGCCAAATTTGACAACCATAAAGTAAAAGAATTGGACATATATTTCGAAATACTGACAGCTGCAAACTGTAGTGTTTTATTATAATGAACTCCGAAATAAGACGACACACTTTCAAGTAGTAACATAAAGATTAAGTATTTCGTCAGGAAGATGTGAACTCTTTATTTTGAGTCCCATCACTTAGAAAACGATGTATAATGGTAAGGGGCGTCGCTAGACCTTTTTTAGTGGGGGGGAGGGGGGGTGTAGAGGCCAACGATTACCGACAAAACTAGCCCCCAATTACCGACAAAATTAAACGTCCCAATATTTACAAATTTAACCCTATATATCCGGGGCCGAAGGCTAAATTGTTTTTCCTACGGACTATCTATAGTACTTGCGTATGCGCAAATGGTTTTTTTCCTCGACGACATAAATATACGAATTATTTCGTCAACTTTGTCAGCATCATGGCTATATATTTTAATGCAGGCGCGGAGCTAGGATCTCATTTAAGGGAGGGCGGTAGTGAGCAGGCGAATCACTCAAAGAGTGCGCGAAGCGCGCTCATTAGGGGGGTGTGGGGGATAGGCCTACCGCGCAAAGCGCGGAAGCTTAGACGTTTCCTTAAATTATTAGGAACAGAAGACGATTTATTGTACCGTTATCGACTGTTAACCATTGTCTGTATGAATTCCCCCGCCCCTCCCGCGCAAAGCGCGAAAGCTTAGGCGTTTCATTAAATTATTATAAAAAGAAGACGATTTGCTGTACCGTTCTCGACTGTAAATCCTTGTCTGAATTCAGTTCCCCCCCCCCCCCGCGCGGAAGTTTTGGCGTTTCATTAAATTATTAGAGAAAGTAGACAATTCGTTGAACCGTGCTCGACTCTTAATCCTTGTATGAATTCAGTTTCTCCCTCTCTCCCACGCGAAGTGCGGAAGCTTTGACATTTCATTAAATTATCATAGAGAAAGTAGACGATTTGTTAAACCGTGCTCGACTCTTAATCTTTGTCTGAATTCGGTTTACCCCTCTCGCGCAAAGCGCTGAAGTTTTGACATTTCATTAAATTATTAAAGAAAGCAGACGATAAGTTGTACCGTTTTCGACTCTTAATAAGCCCTATTTATCTGAATTCAGTTTCCCCCTCTCGCGCGAAGCGCGGCCGCCTTGATGTTTCCTTAAATTATTAGAGAAAGCAGACGATTGGGTGTACTGTTCTCGACTCTTATTTCTCGTCTGAATTCAGTTTCCCCTTCCCGCACGAAGCTTGAAAAGCTTAGACGTTTGATTTAATTATTATAGAAAGAAGACGATTCGTTGCACCGTTTTCGACTCTTCATATAAGCCCTATTTATCTAAATTCAGTTTCACCCTATCGTGCGAAGCACGGAAGCTTTGATATTTCATTAAATTATTAGAGAAAGTAGACGATTTGTTAAACCGTGCTCGACTCTTAATCTTTGTCTGAATTCGGTTTACCCCTCCCGCGCAAAGCGCGGAAGTTTTGACGTTTCATTAAATTATTAGAGAAAGCAGACGTACGATTGGGTGTACTGTTCTCGACTCTTAATTCTCGTCTGAATTAAGTTTCCCTTTCTCGCGCGAAGCGCGGAAGTTTTGACGTTTCATTAAATTATTAGAGAAAGCAGACGATAAGTTGTGACTCTTAAAGGCACACTGCACTACTTGTAGCTACTTGCGCCCTCTATTTAACAATCAATGCCTTATCGGTGACCATTGGTCCCCCATGATCCTCTTTTTCTTATGTTAACTGAGAGCTGAGTTGATGAGATAACCACCTGTCCAGTGACCTTGCAAGGCAGTCTAATCCCTCCTGTAAACTACGGCAGATAAGCTTCAATAAGCCCTATTTATCTGAATTCAGTTTCCCCCTTTCGCGCGAAGCGCGGAAGCCTTGACGTTTCCTTAAATTATTAGAGAAAGCAGACGATTGTGCCTATTAAGCCAATCATATGCAGCGATAGGATGGCAAGGTTAAGTTAAAAAAAAGACGCGTAAGACATAGCATAGCAGCCTATGCATGCTATGCTATGTCGAATTCCAGACAACTCGCCACAAAGACAACCCGCCCCAAGACAACCCGCCACAATACCCTGGACATCTCGCCACAATACCCTGGACAACTCGCCACACTTTTTCCCCTCATGATTTCTAGATCTAAAATCCCTTATCTTAGATGAAATTGTCATTTTTCATGATTTTCGTGCTTTTATAAACACAGTCATTACAAAGAATAAAGAATAAAGCTGATTTCCCTTGCAACAATAATATATATATTTTGACAAACCGAAGGCGTACGATCGCCAGATCATTAGGATAACTTGGTATAATAGATCTAGAGCGGTCTATAGCAGCTGCATTTTTCTGTCTCGATCAGAAATTGTTTAATGGTAGGATACTGGAAGCACTGGTGTACTGATGGGGGGGGGGGGGGTTATTTGACCCGCGAAATAAAATTGAAATGTGATTTATTTCTGGGTTAGTTTCGTCAGAGGCGGCATTCTTCATTGGGAGGGGGGGGGGGACACTGTGCCCCCACTTTTCAGGTTCCCCTAAAGTGCCCCCTTTATCCTTTGTACATGTCCTTTTTCCCTTCTGATAATTTTTAATGGTAGGAATTTATGGAAGGGTACTGGAAGCACTGGCGTCCTGATGGGAGAGGGGGCAGTTGACCCGCGAAATAAAATTGAAATATGGTTTATTTCTACATTTTCTAGGTTAGTTTCGCACAGTCCAAAATAGATTCTTGTTGCGGGTCTTGTTGCAAGCGCAAGGAAAATCATCTTTATTCTTTAGAGCTCTCAAAATACTCCATTTCCATGTTTCCTGTCATGACTTAGCCTATAATCTAGGCGGAGTGCCGAGCTTTTTTCTTTGCTGCTAGACTAACCCTAAGCAGAACGTCTGATACGGCGAGGCTACGAACCGTGAGTTCTGCTTAGGATTAGTCTAGCAGCAAAGAAAAAAGCTCGGCACTCCGCCTAGATAGGCTATTCATGACTGTGTTTATAAAAGAATAATGAATACATAAAATGACAATTTCATCTATTTTACATCTAGAAATCATGATGGGAAAAAAGTGTGGCGAGTTGTCCGAAAAGGCACCCCAGTTTAAATTCCACTAGGAATCTTTTGGAGGAACAACAACCAAGTACCCTGAGCAGGCGAGTTGTCCAGGGTATTGTGGCGAGATGTCCAGGGTATTGTGGCGGATTGTCTTGGGGCGGGTTGTCTTTGTGGCGAGTTGTCTGGACGTACCCCGGTGGGAATAGCCGGCCATTTCTGATCATGATCCAGGCTTTCAAGGAACTACTGTACTGTCACTAGGTCTAGCGTTTTTGCAGAAATGGTAAGCAGTAATGATCATGCTAAAGTTAAACGTAGATCTAGATAAATCTACAAGTACAACATGTAACTTAGATGGTAGGACGGCCGGGGCCTGGGTTGTGTGTGTTTCCGGACGCATCAAAAAGGTAAATGTATGGGCGGCGTTTGCCGTTGGAAATGGAGGCATCAATTGGCCTAGGCCCTAGGCCCTAGGCGTACAGCCACTAACTCCAGGAAGCTCCGACGCCGACGCGACTCCGGAGCTTCCTGGAGTTAATACTAGATCTAGATCTATGTCTAGGCCTAACAGTTAGACCCCTACTATAATAAGGGAGGCCTAGGGCCTATACCAAAATCTAACTTTTTAATTAAATTACTCATTTATTTATAATAAAACAAAGTTTTAAAGTAGGGAGGCCAATGCCCGGGCGTAAGGCTTAAGTTCTACGCCTACGATTTGCGCTCGCCACTCGTCGTCCAACTCCAAGTCAGAAAATTACCTGAAGAAAAAAAAAGGGAAAAAAAAAAGAAAAAAAATATCTAGACCTCTATGGAATAAAATCTATAACAAATACACAATTGTACACTCCACAGTATACCTATAATCATAGACCGAATTTTCCGTCTCTTTCGTTCGTTAGCCTCTTATTGGGGTAGGGTCGGCTCTCTCTTTAGAGACGGAAGCCGTTTATACACATGTCCTTGCTAACGCCACGGCCAGTTCTGGTCGTAGCGTTTTGCCCCCAAAATCCCCCAAAATGTCATTTTACCTCGAGCATGTTATATTGTAAATTAGGCCTAGGCTATAATAAATCAGTTCCACTTACCAACTTGACTGAAATAATCAGTTTAATAGTCCCTTTTTAGGAAATTATGGGTCAAAATCGGAATCCATGTTGAAAAAGATTTTCAAAATGGATTTCGATTTTGACCCATAATTTCCTAAAAAGGGACTATTATTAAACTGATTATTTCAGTCAAGTTGGTAAGTGGAACTGATTTATTATAGCCTAGGCCTAATTTATAATATAACATGCTCGAGGTAAAATGACATTTTGGGGGATTTTGGGGGCAAAACGCTACGACCAGAACTGGCCGTGGCGTTAGCAAGGACATGTGTATAAACGGCTTCCGTCTCTAAAGAGAGAGCCGACCCTACCCCAATAAGAGGCTAACGAACGAAAGAGACGGAAAATTCGGTCTACTATAATCACAGATCTGTAGGCCTAATGGTCTTTCACCATTTGTTGACGATCTTGCAGATTTTGACGTAGGGTCTATTTGAATCCAATAATTCTGTTAGCAGACGAACATTAACACGCACACAAGAGAAACTAGATGGGTCCTAGAGGGCGTGGAGGTTAGCTCACTAAAATCCTTCTGGCAGAAGGTAGACCCTAAAAATATGGAATCCGTTTTAAATGAAAGAACTTTTGATAGAGATTAACATATCAGATGTGCACAAATGTCACTTTTAACAACTAGAAAATATAACGAAAAAAGATTATATCTTTTTAATTGCAGATTTTTAAAAACTGCACATTCGAAGGAAGATAGAGTACGATGTTTTTGTCAATTTGGCGTTTGTTTGAAGCCGATTATTAGCTACAGCCATCTCAAAATGAGAAAAAAAAACTGTGAACAGTGGTGTCATTGTTCTAGCCAAATATGGAGGTATTGCAACATCATAATATCTTCTTCTTCTTCAAAATAATCTGCCTCCTTCACTGCTGAAGATTCTTGCAGATGTTGAAGATTCTTGCAGATGTGTGAATATGTATGAGCTTCGGTCAGAACGCCCGCTAAACAAATTTGGCTAGTCTCACACCCAGTACCTTATTCTCACAGCACGAGACTCGAGTGTCAAGCTCGTACAGTAAGTCATATATGAAAAATGTTTAAAAAAGATATTTCAGTAAAAAAATGTCTACTTGAGCTATTTAGCAGTCTTCTTCTTCTTCTTCTTCCAGTATAGTATAGTCCGCCGTTGGCGTATTATCGTACCTTGTGTTTGTCAAGTGCCGAGTGTACAGTCCAATTGAGAAGTTAGGATGAAAAGATATGATTGGATGATGTGATTGCAGGGAATAATTTTCAGCAAAAAAATTGCATAGCAAAACTGCTATACAAAATAATTTTTGCATAGCAGTTGGATAAATTTGTATCGCAATTTTTTTCTCATATAGCAAAGCGTACATTTTCAGCCCACTACAATAAGATGAATGTACATGTAAACATGGTGGGTGTACTCACATTTCTAGTCCTCAAATGGATATGGCCACTTGCTGCAGTGACAGTAAACAATCAACTCCCAGGTACGATCATCGCGCACATGCGATGCATGTAATTAGATCCCACGTGCATTGTCATTGCATTGTGCAATGATCGCGCGAACCATGCCTCAAAACAACAATCGCGGTTAGAAGGTGATCGTAGCATGCCATGTGCTTGCGCGACAATGGGTGTTTGTGTATAAGCTTCACGGTTAGAGAGTGACTGCAGTATACTTCACGCACAGTAGTTACGCTGTAAATGCAAACATACAAGTGCGAGTGAGTAGCCAATTTCGCGGTCGCCGGCGATGGCGAAACGGGCTACTTACTCGCACTTGTACTGAGGTGTGATGAGCTAGCCTAGTAATTCAGATTATTCAGATCGCGAAACGGGCTTCTCACTCGCACTTGTACTTGTACAGAGGTGTGATGAGCCCGCCCTTAAACATGTATGTTTGCATTTGCATCGCAGCAATTGCGATTCATAAAAAATGATGTGTAGCAAATGGCTGAAAATGCGTCGCAAATTGCGATGCGATACCGGGAAAATTATTCCCTGGATTGTGAGTGCATGATAAATGGTTAGTTGTCGCGTACAGCTTAGAGAGAAAGAGAGAGAGAAAGAGAGATCCAGGTATTACGTATACGTAATACGTACATGTACGTATGTGCGATATATGTAGTAGTATCATGTGTGGCGCAATGAGTGTGAGCTGCTGCATGGATTATGGAGGTCGTTCTTGTTGATTGTACAGTAGATCTCCGACTGAAATACTCGTGAGGAAATCAAGTTATTGGAATACCAATCTAAGGTAAATATTAATGAATTAGATCTGTTCTTTCCTTCTTTTTTTACTCGTAGATGTAGTAGTCATATGTACATTCATTGGTTCGATTTCAACTTCAGCCTGTATTGCGGCTTGCCTGGTTGAAGTGGTTCGGTGTGTGCGACCGATTCAAGGCTGGCCAGATGATGAATGTACTTTCGCGCAAAGTTTTTAACTTGTTGTACAGGCAATGAAACGCCTATTCCCTCGGGCCTGTCTAATTCTCAAAGTAATTTTTGGGGACATGAATTTGATTGTTTCAAGGCTCTTACGTACGGCCAGGCGTAGAAGGAAGGGCCTAGAAAATAGCTGGATATCTCCTATTTTATGGAACTTCTGGAGTCGGCAGATGGGTGAGTTTTCTTAGTGAAAGAAAACGCTTTCTTTTAATGTTTGTTTTATTATAAACTAACTCGTAATTAAAAAGTTAGATTTGGGCATTGGCCTCCCTATTTAAAGAAGTTTTTTCTTTAACTAAGACAACTCGCCCATCTGCCAACTCCAGAAGTTCCATAAAATAGGAGATAGATCTAGATCTAGACCTTCTATCCAGCTCTATAAATGAAGTAGGCCATTCCTTCTACGCCTATCCGTACGTAAGAGCCTTGAAACAATTATATTTCATGTCGCAAAATTACGTTTATTAAAATTACGAGTACAATAGGACAGCAGCATGCATGCAACGTACGCAGACGTACGTGTATGGTTGTGTGACCAAAGTTCACGCGTGACCTAAGTTCGCTCTCTCAAAAATTCAGTAAGATTTCGAAAATCTGATATCACCAATGGAAAGAGGAACATAAAATTACCCAGAGGTGAAATTTCCTTTGGAATTGGTTACGAAATTGTGAAAATATTGACAAAAGATTGGCAAATCCTGCAATATTTTGCGTCCGTTCTGAAAAATGATCAACTTACCGATAAGGGTCTGAAAATCTTCAATTTGAGAGCAGATTTCCTGAAAATTGTAAGTAAAAAGTGGTACTAACTGATTGTATGATATCTTGCCTTGCAAATTATGATATTACCTTATTTTTGATGGATCACACTTTTTGATAAAATCAACTGTAAACCCTGTGCGTGAAGTTGGGTCTCGTTGTTTTCATGACTATTTTAGATGCAGCGCGCACGAACGATCGGACATCAAATTTTTTAAATCGCGATATCTCCGAAATCCCTCGACGATAATAAAATTGAACCAATCTGTAGTAAAAAACTTTGCCGTCCGTTTGGTAATAATTGAAATAAATAAATTTGTGTGGAGAAGGGAAAATCATAATTCGAATATCACATTTTGTGATATGTTCTAAAATGTCCGCGAACTTTGGTCACCCTTTCATAGTTCATACTATATTTTTTCTCTCCCTCTTGCTATATGTAACATACACACTCACTAACCGTGCATTGGCCTCCCTACTAGTAAGGAGGCCAATACCCGGGCGTAAGGCTTCTACACCTACGATTTGTGCGCTCGTCATCCACTTCAACAAAATTAGTAGAGAGAAAAAAATGATGTAAAAATAGAAATTGATGAAAATAAGAAAAGAAAATACAATTATACATTTCACAACATACCTATAATCACGGATCTGTAACGGTCTTTCACCATTTGTTGACGATCTTGCAGATTTTGACGTATTTGAATCTAATAATTGTGGTAGCAGAAGAACATGACGCGCACACACCACCGACTAAGAAAGAGGTTTGCTCACTAAAATCCTTCTCATTGGTAGAAGGTAGACCCTAAAAATATGGGATTGGTCTTGAGTCGAAGAACTTTTGATAGAGATTAACATTTCAGATGTTCACAAATGCAACTTCTAACAACTAGAAAATATAAAGAAAAAAGATTTTGTCTTTCTAAATACAGATTTTTACAAACTGAACATTCGAAGGTAGATAGAGTACGATATTTCTGTCAATCTTGCGTTGGTGTGAGGCTGAGCCCTATAACTACATCCATCACAAAATGAGAAGGAAAACTGTGAACAGTGACGTCATTTTTCGCGCCAAAAACAAAGGGTATTGCGAAATATGTCTGAGTTCCGGTCAGAACGTGCGCCAAGCATAGTCTTACTTATAGACCCTAGTACCTTATTCTCACAGCACTAGATACGAGTGTCGTGCAGTAATGCATGGAAAGTGTTAAAAAAGACATTTCAGTAAAAAAAAAGTCTACGTGAGCAGTCTATACTCCAATTGAGAATTGGAATGAAAGCCATGATTTGAAGGTGTGTGTTTGGTGTATGATACATGGTTATTGAGTGTGTATGTTACGTATAGCGAGAGGGAGAGAGAGAGTGAGAGAAATAATATAGTACAGGTACGTCTGCGTACATGTATGTACGTTGCATGCATGCTGCTGTCCTATTGTTCTCCGTATTGTGTTCGCTGCAAGATGGATGTTGATTGGACCAGGTAACTTGTCAATCGTTGATAATGCAGTGTCAGATTGATCTTTACTTACCGGTATGAGGAATTACTATTGGATTTGGAATACCACTCAAAACTATAAAGGTAGGCCTAATTATTAATTTTAATACTTTTCCAGGATTATATTACAATCACGTAGATCTACGTTGATTATTTTTTCTCTCTGTTCATGTTTTGTCCCTCCATGGCTCGATTTCAGGACTGCAGCTTGCAATGCAATTACCTGTGTCGGTGTGTGAGACCGATTCAAGGCTAGCCGCTGATGATGAATGTACTTTCGCACGAAGTTCGAACTTGTTGTCCGGGCAATGACACGCCTATCCCCTCGGGCCTGTCTGATTATGAACGTAATTTTGCGACATGAAATATAGTTGTTTCAAGGCTCTTACGTACGGATAGGCGTAGAAGGAAGGGCCTACTTTAGAGCTGGATATCTCCTATTTTATGGAACATCTGGAGTCGGCAGATGGGTGATTTGTCTTAGTGAAAGAAAATACTTGCTTTTAAACTTTGTTTTATATAATAAGATTAGTAATTAAAAAGTTAGATTTGGGTATTGTCCTCCCTACGTCTGTACATTAGAAGATAGATAGAAGACAATGTTTATTTCAATCTTGCGTTGATTTGAGGCCAATAGCTACATCCATCTCAAAATGAGAGGGAAAAGTGTGAAAGGGGACATCATTTACAAGCCAAGAATAGATGAAAAAATAGGTATTAAAGGGATCGTTTAACAATGTTAAATCTGAGATACACGGCCCTACGTGTTATCAGTGTCTGTGATATGGTGTAATATTGAAGCCCTAAAAAAATTGCACTTCAAAATGATCAAGAAGTGCCTCAAAAAAGTAAAAATCTTTGAGTGACCGGTTTTACCATACTCGTTTTCCCCAATAGACTGTAGTGTTATGAAAACCGTCAGGCGAACGGTTTTCAAAATTTGTAATTCCAATCATAAATATCTTGATAATCAGACAGGCGATCGGCTTGTAAAAGTCATGGGGCTCCTGACTGACCTTAAGGTTTATAATTATCATTTCATCATGAGCTAAATCCAGAATTTTATTTCAGAATCTGAGACAAAGTTACCGGATCCCTTTAATAATAATAATAATCAGTTTTTATATAGCGCATATTACAATCACTAAGCGCTTCCAAACTTGGAGTTTTATCACCCCGGCTTCAGCTGTGCTGCCATCACGGCTATCTAGCTTTCCAAAGAATTAATTCCTGCCTGGTACCCATTTACATCAACTGGGTTGAGTGTGGCAAATGCAGATAATTGACTTGCCAAAGAACATTAGTGCCGCGGCGAGTCTCAAACCGCGGACCTTGTGATCGACAGTCCGGCGACTTAACCACTCGACCACAGCACCTCTACGACATCAGAATATCAATATGTATGAGCTTCTACGAGATCATGCAACATAACATGTGTAGCGTAGTCTCACACCGACATGTAGTCCCTTATTCTCACAGCACTAGACACTGGCAAGCTCGTGCAGTAAATCGTGTATGAGTCCTCCCGTAAATCTCCATGTATAAGACGCACCTGTGAAGACGCACCCCTTTTTTTTTATTTTTAAATTTTTTTTTTCCCGACTCTGTCGGCAGCAAGCCAGGTCTGTGTTAAAAAACCCATGCGGGGAAGGACTTTCATTTAACTGCAAGGTGCAGTTGAAGGCACCGATTTGTGCTTGTGAACTTGTCACTAATAATAGTAACAATGTCGTTTTTAGAAGAATGTGTAAGATCATTAATGTAAATTAAAAACAGTAGAGGATCTAGGATAGAACCTTGTGGTATGCCGTGTGTAATAAAAGAAAAATTGGAGGAATTATTATTATAAACTACATATGGAGATCTATTAGAAAGATTACTTTCAAACCAAGATGACAGACAAATTTGAGTGTTTTTCTAGTTTCCGAGTGGTGAGTCAACACATCGATTACTGAGCTGGGAGACATTTTCAGGCATATTAGTGCCAGATGTATAAGGCGCACCTATATAAGACGCACCCCAGACTTTCAATTTCTTTTCGGCGGCAAAAAAAAGTGAGTCTTTCCGTATACACAGAGATTTACAGTAATATGTGTTTTAAAAGATATTTAAGTAAAAATGAGTGGAAAACGGTCTATACTCCAATCCAGAAACGGGATAGAAAAACGTGTCATGATTTGAAGGTGTGTTACATATATATATATAAAGAGAGAGAGAAGATACATGTACGTATATTACAGGGAGATGGAGATTTTAGCGCTGCAAGAGGAATAAAGGATGTCGTTCTAGTCGATTGTACAGTAAAAAAATCATTTGGTTGCCACAACTCGAGGCTCCAACTCGGCTAAGTGGGAGCCCTGCTTTAGAAAGAAGGTCTGATTAGGAAAGTTCCCAAAGTAGAGCAAGTAGCCATTCAAATGTTAATAAACATGTGCATCTGTTAAACATTCATCTTCAACAATGGAAACAAAAAATGAGAAACAGTGAGGATTGAGCTCTAGATGTCAGTTGTAGTCTCTAGACTGCCTGGTTTTGACAACTATGGCCAAGATCTAAGATCGTGGACAAGCCATAGGATACCTTCCATGCTCATTAAAATTTGAATGGTCAGATGCCCCATTTTTGCAATTGTATTTCAGAGACTCATTTATTGTTAAATGGCTATTCTTACTCATGCATGAATGGTATGATTCCAGTTGTTCATCATATGAAAGAGGATTATTTTATGTTTATTTTGATATACACTGTATGAAAGTAGTCTATATTGAATATTTATTTGAAAATCTGAACTATAAATAGTGTCCTTCTTTTTGCCAGTTTAGTAAGAGAGCCACAAATTATTCTGTTTCTGTTTTGACTGTTAATTCTGTAATGGTTTAAGACTTTAGGAGTTTATACCTCAGATATTATTTTGGAGTGGACACAGTCTGGTTACATGTACTTAATTAAAAATTTGTACCTGGGTTGTCTGTTTACAAACAAGTATTCTCCTCTGAGTCCTCTATCACATATTAAAAAGGCTGAATAGTCATCAAAAAAAAATATCTTTGTTATGTTGTTGAATTGATTTAATTGCATTCCTTTTTCCATTTAAAAAGAAAGAAAGTAGACTGTAGATTGGTGAAGGGGTAAAGTTTATCTGCCGAAATGATGTCTCCCAATTGTATTGTGCCCTTAACAGGATAAAGCTGTAGCAGAAAATGGAGATGGTCCATCTGCCACGCCCTTTGACCCATGGTACCAAGTCAATGTGTGTGATGCTACAAAGAACGGGGAAGCTATCATTTTCAAGATAAAAACACTGAAGGTGATGTACATGTTTTTTGTGTATTTAATTTTTATTGTTTGGGTTGTCCTTCCAGTTTAATGTTTGCATGAAATATATTCTGGTTTGCTTTTGTGCAGTCTTTAATTGGAGAAATTAATGTAAATCATTAGTCATGGAAACTTGAGTTGTTTAACTAATTTGTGCAAGTTGTAACTGGGAGACAGAATAGGTGGGGTGACGTATTCTCCAAGTGACAACAATCTGTGTAAAAAAGTCTTGGAGTAGTTTGCTTTCTGAGTATGTAATGCATGGTAACAGTATTTCATTCCTGTTATTTTTACCAAATTTGTTCATTTTAGGTTTAAAATTAGGCCTCCAGAGTAAACAGAGTAAACATGTATACAGTGTACTCAGGAGCTCTTGGTGATTATATCTCGTACTCAGGAGCTCTTGGTGATTATATCTCGAGCTCCTACTGGAATAACTCCTGTACATGTATTCCCACGGGAGCCATTTTTTTGTAAGACAAATATTAAAAATTTAGAAAGTGCGACCAGACAATATTTTTAGGGGGGATGAGCCTTACCTCAAAATTTGATAAAGTTTTCTCTCCTTTGTTTCTGTTTCTTAGTTTCTCTGATTTCTCCATTTTTATTCAGAGCAGACTTTAATCAATGTTGGATTATCTTTTTAAAATTGAGAAAACTTGCACTTTGAATTGACTTTGTTGTTGAATGAGTTGTCTGGGCTTACATAATTAATTAACAATTCACCAATTTAAGATTTGTATTTACTTAAATGATGGACACACTGCAATTCATTGCATAAATTATTTTTTTATTTTTTTATCAGACTCTTACTAATTTGTCTGTACGCAAAACAATTTTTATCAAAGTTGAATTACTTTTCTAATATAGGCAGCTGATACATGAAGGAAGTTTATAAGGTGCATTCTTTAACAGAAAGAACATGGTTTTACTGTGAGGAATGATATTACTTATTAATCAAATTCTATGTTATTTCTCATTCATGAAATGAGAAAATAAGCTTGTAGTCCATGATGATAGCACAAATGATTGCAGTGAGAAACAGGAAGTGAGATCTTGAAGGTGTCTCATCACTTTACTTGAGGATCGATAAATATCAGCTTAGCTTCATGAAACATGGCTTATTGAAGCTTAAATGATGACTTATTTTTTGTTTATTCATGTGGACATTATATATAGTTATATATATATATATATATATATCATCATTGTGGTTATATGCCTTTATGTACTGTTGCTCCAGTTTACTTTTCCTCTTAAAGGGCTTTCCTGTATAAAAAGTGCAAATAGTATACCCTTTTATTTTTTTATTTTTTTATTTTGTATTTATTTATTTATTTTTTTTTTTTTTTTGGGGGGGGGGGGGGGGGGGGGGCTGGTGAAATTTTTAAAAATAGACTGTTTAAAGCTGTGATGTCTATAGTACTGTAGAACTCATTTAGATTAATCAAAGAGCACTTCGTAAAATCTTATCAGAGACATTAGGTGGTATTTTCGAAAGTGGTCTAACTTTAGTCCATGGTTTAATCTACCGACTAAGTATGGAATGCCAAGTGTCCATATGAATATATGAATATAATGCTATGGTCACATTACCCAAAGTAGCCTGCTCGGCGGCTGAGCGTCGAGTTTTTAGCCAATTTTGCCTGGCCAACGAGTGGCGGCCGCTCAGGCACCGCATGTTTTTAAGGCATCGCTTGGTCGCTTCTGAAGTTTTAGCGCGGGGTTAAAATTCAGGGCGGCGCCTGCTCACTTTCACTCGACGCCAAAACTGCGCTTGGTGACTGGGCGGTCGCCGCCCGGGCGCTGACCTAATCGAGCATTCACTGTCGAGCGATTTAGGTCAAAAATCGAAGCCGCTAGGTCAAAGGCTGTCGAGCAGTCTCTGCCCGATCGCCACTGAGACATCAGTCGGTCACCGGGCGGCGAGTCCAAAATCGGTCGGCAGCCGGTCGGTCGGCAGCCTAGCGGCTTCGATTTTTGACCTAAATCGCTAGGCGACGAACGCTCGATTAGTTTGGTGCCCGGGCGGCGAGTCCAAAATCGGTCGGCAGCCGGTCGGCAGCCGGTCGGTCGGCAGCCTAGCGGCTTCGATTTTTGACCTAAATCGCTCGGCGACGAACGCTCGATTAGTTTGGTGCCCGGACGGCAAATGGCCGGGCACCGAGCATATTTTGGAGCCCCGCTGATCACTGGCCGGCCGTCGTGTAATATCTTTGAAATCAGTCGGAGACTGCTCGGAAACCAATGGGTAACCGGTCTGTCACTGCTGGGACAACACGCGGAAAAGCTCTGCGATTTCACCCAGTTTTGACCTAAAATCGACCGGCGACCGACCGAAAATCGACAGGGCACCGCCCAGGCATCGGGGGCTCTACAGCCTGCTCGACTTTTCAAAAAATCGCTGGGCGATGCCTAAATTCAAGCGGCGATCGAGCAGGCTACTAATCGGTCGGACGCCGCTCTGATTTGTGACCATAGCTTATATTACCATGATAACATCTATCATATTGTTGTTTATTAATTATGTTATTACATTTTTTTAATTGAGTGAAAGATTAAATTATTCACAAATATGTTCATGACTATGGACACTTGGCATTCCATACTTATTCGATGGAATAAACAATGGACTTTAAGTTAGTCCGCTTTCGAGAACACCACCCATTATGTTTGTGGGTTTTATTATTTCTGTTTGGTCACATGCAAGACTATTAAGACTAGTAAACAAATTTAGCCCTTTATTGCTGGAAAAATAATGCCAACTATGGTGCTACTGACAAGAAATTGCACAATTTTTTTCTTCAAAAATACATTATACAGAGTATTAATTTTATTAGAGAAGGGCAAAATACATGCTGCCAACAATGTGTAAGGGTGATAGAGAGTATGGCACATGTATGGAGATCTATGTAAATACATGTACTTGCAATGTTTTCAAATCATCTGCAATTGTTCAAAAGTTAATGTACAAGATTTTAATGGCATATTTCTTCCATTTCTGTGACAGCTTGAAGAGGATGGAACAGAAGTGACTGTTGAGAGAGTGTATGATGACTTTGAATGGCTACAACACTGTCTCACCACTGATAATGACATTGGAGGTATTATTGTAAGTGTTTAACATGAAGATACATGTACATGTACAAACTCTTAGTCTTACTGTAATTATCACCATGATGTAAACAAAAGAAAAACACCATTACCGGTAATCATGTACAGGTACGTGTACATGTATGTCCACACATGTTCCTATGGTGTGGAAGGGGTGTGTCAGCCTGAATTATAAGATGGTAGAAGAATCCCTGCAATCTGATTGGTCAATTACCGTGTAGATAATTTTACTGGATGCACTCGATATCGGGAATCGATACCACCGATATCTCTTTTTTTTTTGTTCTATAATTTTTTTAATTTTTGATCGTTATAATTTTGGTATTTGTTTTTTTTTTTTTTTTAATAATTATAATAAAAAAAAAAAATCTTTTCTATAATTTTCTTATTAAAAAAAGAAAAGAAGTTTAATGTGAAGGTGAGTCATTCCATATGTTTTCAACCATTGCACTAACAATTTAATTTTTTTTTTCAAATTTCATGAAATCATGCTTTCCGGTAATTACCGGATGCAATGGCTATGGCAAAATCATGCGTCCTGTAATTACTGGGGAGCATGATTTTGCCATGCGCCAGGTTAATCTGTAGAATAACAGATTTTTGTATTATTGATGATTTTTGGGGCCCCATTTTATAAAACAGATGATGCACAGGTTTAATTCGTGGGTTGGTGGAATGATGTGCACATGGGTCTGTGGATAGGTGGAATTCGTGGACCGGTGGAATTGTGTGTACCCACTCGGCTGCGCCTCGTGGGTTCAAACCATTCAAAGGTACCTTGTGCACACAATTCCTACCGACGCACTAAAACCTGTGTATCATTTGTATATTGTTCACCAACCCTTTCATGAATTACAAAAGCCTGACACTAATTTTAAATACTTGTAAAGGTTGAGGATATTTTGTTTCAGATACAGGTGTACCGTAATTATCGTTGTATAAACCGCCCTCGTGTATTAACCGCACCCCTCTATTTCGCCCTAAAAAAAAAAAAAAAATTTGCCGACTTTCTTTTTGCCGACTTAAAAAACAGTAGAGGACCTAGGATAGAACCTAATTGTGGTACGCCGTGTAATAGAAGAAAAATTGGAGGAATTATTATTATCAACTACATATTGAAATCTATCAGAAAGATTACTTTCAAACCAAGATGACAGACAAATTTGAGTGTTGTTCTAGTTTCCGAGTGGTGAGTCAACACACCGATTACTGAGCTGGGAGACATTGCCAGGCATAGCGCCAGGTGGAGGGGCATAAATCGAAACTAAAAAATCTTTTTTTTTTTTTTTTTTTTTTGGTTTACCGTGTATAAACTGCACCCCCGACTTTGAATTTTTTTTGGCTGCAAAAAGATGCGGTTAATACACCGTTAATTACGGTATGTAAAAAGTATATTATTGTTGCCGGTGGGGTACTTGGATTAAGCAGTGTTACGTAGCGTCATATTCTAGTGTGCGCTCTATCTAACTGCCACATTCCTTGACGGATTCCTTTCAGATTTCACATGGAGGTGTATCTTGGTATAATCTACACACGTATATTGTGTGTATTTGGTGACTGCCCCCAGTGTTCCGTCTTCTATAGGGTAACCGGCAATTATTTTATGGATGGTTTGTGTGCGCTCTATAGGCCACATTTCCGAAGGGATTTTGTTCAAATTTTGAACGAAGGTGTATCTTGGTCTAATTTATATGCCTATAGATTTTGGTGATGCTGCCTCCAGTGCTCCAACTTTTATAGGGTCAAACGTCATATTTTGATAGATGTCTTGCAGGCCTCGAATTACATCAAATTTGGGTCAAGGCCACTTTTTTGAGAGGGCACAAATCCACTGAAAGGGGCACAAATCTATCCTAAGGGGCACTAAGGCCAACGTGGAAAGTGCGCGTAAAATCACCTCACGCCGTTGTTTTCAAGGTGGGGGGGGGGGGGGGGGATATGTGCACCCAGGGGCGGATCCAGGATTTCTTAGGGGGGGGGGGGGCCCACCTTTTTTTTTTTTGTCCCAAAAAAAAATCGCAACGACTCAGCCAGCCGCTGAATAAGCAGGGGGGGGGGGGGTAAGAGGACACTTTTTTTTGTTTTTTGGTCTCGAAATTTGAAAATTTGACATTTTGTTCCCGTTGGGGTGGGGGGGGGGGGGGTCACCTTTTTTTGGATCAGCCATTGGCATAATTTTTTTGTGTGTGTGTGTTTCATTTAAAAAAAAAAAAAACATCACAAAAAAGGGGGGGGGGGTTGCTCCAAAATACAGACATAAAAAAAAACCGAAGGGCGGGGGGGTTCAACGCCCCAAACCCCCTCCCCCCCCCCCCACCTGCGTACGTGCCTGCTCGTCTGAATACAGTTTCCCCTCTTTCCGCGCGAAGCGCGGAAGCTTTTACATGTACGTTTCATTAAATCATTAGAGAAAGAAGAGGATTCGTTGTACCGTTTTTTACTCTTAATCCTCGTCTAAATTCACCCCCCCCCCCTCCCGCGCAAAGCTTGGAAGCTTTTACGTTTCATTAAATCACTACAGAAAGAAGACGATTCGTTGTACCGTTCTCGACTCTTAATTCTCGTCTGAATTCAGTTTCCCCCCGCCCCAATCCGCACGCGCGAAGCACAGAAGCTTTTACATTTCATTAAATCATTAGAGAAAGAAGACGATTCATTGTACCGCTCTCGACTCTTACTCCTCATCTGAATTCAGTCCCCCCCCCCCATCCGCGCGCGCGAAGCGCGAAAGCTTTTACGTTTTATTAAATCATTAGAGAAAGAAGACGATTCGTTGTACCGTTCTCGACTCTTAATCCTTGTCTAAATTCAGTTACCCCACCTCCTGCGCGATCGAAGCGCGAAAGCTTTGACATTTAATTTAATTATTAGAGAAACAAGACGATTCGTTGTACCGTTCTCGAAAATAATCCTCGTCTGCATGAATACAGTTTCCCCCTCCCGCGCAAAGTGCGGAAGCTTTTACGTTTCATTAAATCATTAGAGAAAGAAGACGATTCGTTGTACCGTTCTCGACTCTTAATCCTTGTCTGAATTTCAAAAATGTTTTTTGTCTGCTCCTTTTTCTTCATACGTCCTCTTCCCTTTCTCTCCTCTCTTTTTTTGGCTTTTTTTTTTGGGGGGGGGGGCGCCCCCCCACTGCCCCCCCCCCCCCGGCTTCGTGCCTGCGGTCAGATGAACATCTTTTGATACCTTGTCCGCCCCCGGAAACTCATGGGTTGAAGGCAAAGTACGGTCAGATAAGCATTCAGGGGCCCGCCTCAGGGCCCCTGGTGGAGTCGAGGGTGCGGAAACCCCTGAATTTTAGGGGTTTCAGCTATTTGATTACGGTCAGATGAACATATTTTTATACTTTATTTGTGACACTGGCAGGACACTGATTGGCGTGAGGTCCAGCGGGCGGAGCCCCCAGAAGGTTTTAGGCACTAAATTGCAATCAGACGAGTATCAAGGGGCCCTTGGTTGGGTCCCAGGGGCAGAGCCCACAGCCCACGGAAGCTCAGTGGTTTTAGGCGTTTAATTAATGTCAGATGAGCAATTTTTTATACCTTATTTTGTTGAGAAACTGGTAGTTAACTATTTTTTCTTTCTTGCTCTCTTTCTTTCTATTTCTCTTTAAAATGCTTTTCAAAAAAAAATTGGGGGGGGGGGGAGCTGGAGGGAGTGGGGAGTTTCCCCCTTTGACGTTTCATTGAATTATTAGAGAAAGAAGACGATTCGTTGTACCGTTCTTGACTCTTTTTCCTTTTCTGAATTCCAAGGGAAGCGCGGAAGCTTAGACGTTTTTAATAAATTATTAGGGAAAGAAGACGATTCGTCTTGACTACCGGTATTAATCCTTTTCTGAACTCAATTCACACCCCTCCCGCGCGATGGGCGGAAGCTATGACGTTTTAATTAAAACGTATGGGAAAGAAGACGATTCTTTGTACCATTATCTCGACTCTTAATCCTTTTCTGATTTAATTCCAGACCCTCCTCCCGAGAAAAATCCAAGTTTTTCACTGATTAAAAACTGTGAAAACGCACCAAAAAAGGTCACAACGCGAAGTGAAGATGTTAAACCAACGATGGGTAAACAAAACTTCCCGATATTGATTGGTCCAAATAAAAAGGATGGATTGAAAAACTAAGCCTTAGTCATTACGGTTTTTGTGCCAAACGTTTCAGTCATTTGGATGACATTCTTTCATATCTCCGTATCGGCAATTAAGTCCCGCCAATTAATTTAGGAGTTCCATAGTGGCAATTAAGTCTCGCTAATAATTATTGTTTTTAGATCTCCGTAGGGGCAACAAAGTCTTGCCGATTATCATTGTTTTAGAGCTCCGGAGGGGCGCCAAAACCTTGCCGACTATTATTGTTTTTAGAGCTCCGTAGGGGCAACAAAACCTTCCGGTAATTATTGTTTTTGGAGCTCCGTATGGGCAACAAAACCTTGCCGACTATCATTGTTTTTAGAGCTCCGGAGGGGCAACAAAACCTTGCCGACTATCATTGTTTTTAGAGCTCCGTATGGGCAACAAAACCTTTTTTAACATTACAAGTCGGGTTGGCTTACGATGACTATAATGTCGGCAAAACTTTTGTGGATTAAAATATTGTGGCCGTAAACGGTTTGATTTTGAAAAGGGCATTCCGGCCAGTGAGAGGGGCATTGCGGCAAATTGCCGATTGCCGGTGGGTAATTCGAGCCCTGGTCTTGTGTGCACTCTAGTGTGCGATCTAACTGCATCATTTCTTGTCGAATTTCTTTCAAATCGAGTATGGAAGTGTATGTTGGTACTTGGTAAAAATCTATGCACCTTTAGTTTTTGGTGATGCTGCCACCAGTGTCCCATGTTTTATAGGGTCAAAAGGTCATATTTTGGTAGGTAACTAGTGTGCGCTGTGCAGGTCATATTTCATGGCGGATTTCTTAAAATTTTTGAATGCAGATGTATCTTGGTACAATCTACACATCTACACTTTTGGCCCATGCTGCCCTCATTGTTCCGTGTTTTATATTGGTAAAAGGTCATATGTCTTTTATGCGCTCTAACTGCTACATTTCTTGACGGATTTCTTTCAAATGTTGTATGGAGGTCTTAATACAATCTACACATTTTTGGTGTATAGTGATGCTGCCACCTGTGTTCCATCTGTTATAGGGTCAAAGGTTATATTTTGGTGGTTGTCTTTTGTGCCGGGGCGGCTATTTCTTTTCATGACCGGGGGGGACGAAATTTGAGGGACGAGCAAAAACGGTTTTTTTTTTTTTGGGGGGGGGGGGGGTGGGGGGCAGGAAAAAAAATCTGTATCACCACCAATCTTAAATTTTACATGCAGGCCCCGCAGAACATTTTTCAAAATGGGGGGAGGGGGAGCTAAAGTATTTTCGATCAGGGAGAGCAAAGCGAGCGAAGCAAATGGAGCATAAATTGATGTGGGGTACGCCATGAAGCTCAGGGGTTTTAAGCATTTCATAACGGTCAGTTGAGCATCCAGGGCCCAGCCTTAGGGCCCTGGGTGGGGTTCAGGGGGCAGAGCCCCCGGAAACTCAGGGGTTTTAGGAATTTACTTACAGTCAGATGAGCATCCAAGGGCCTGTCTTATGGCCCTGGTAGGGTCCAGGGGCAGAGCCCCCGGTAGTTTAAGGGTTCTAGGCATTTAATTACGGTCAGATGAGCATCCAGGGGCCCGTCTTAGGGCCCTGGGTGGGGTTCAGGGGGCAGAACGCCCGGAAGCTCAGGGAAAAATCTTTCCATTTTAGCAATATTTGTAAATCACTGGTATCGAATTATTAGAAATAAACCACGTTTGAATTTCATTGGGGGGGGGGGACAACTGCCCTCCCCCCAATTGTACGCCACTGCGAAGGAGCAGAGTGAACGAGAGGGGTAAAAGTGACGGAAGTGACTACCACCTCACAGGTTTTTGAAGTTTTGTTGTATCAACAAATTACATTCCTTAGTAAAACTATAGTATAAAAACAAACAATATACGGTACTTTTTTTGCACTTCACATTTCTACAATATTTACCTGTATATTTTGAAAGATATTATGCGAGGGAGCGGAGAAGATTTGCATTTTTTATTTGTCTAAACACTGCACTCTTGGGCCTTCCAGAGCCTAAAAAGTATGTTGCAGTCTTTTGTCAGTATTTGCTTTACATTTTTGGGGCCCTTTTTAAAATTTTCTGAGGGAGGAAAGATCCCCCCTAAAAAAAAAAATCGAGGAGTTTTTCTGGGACACGGCCCCCCCCCCCCCCCCCCCCCCCCCCCCCCCCCCCCCCCCTCTTAGTAGAGTGCAGCTTATTTTGTTAAAGCTAATATTGAGAAATTCAGTCCAAATATTAATGGGAAGCAAGATTATTGGTGGTGAAACTGGAAATTCTTTAGATTATATCTCTTGTTGTTATCATATATTTGCTGTATGAATACAATTTTCAATATCTTATCGAAAATAAGAAAAAAATAACTTTCAGTGATATTCTTAGATTTCATACCTTTCATTCAAATTTGAGTACTGAAGAATTAGTTTGATACTCTGAATATCAAACACCATTAAAGGTACTATGTCCCTTTCGCAGCCAACCTCAAATACTGTAGAACTTTGCAGGAATTATGAATATGTCATGTATGTCCTATCTGTGAAATTTAAACGTTAGCAGTGTCCTCATATTCAAATTATGCAAGGAAACCCGTTTACTTGCTAGACTTCACTGTCAGACACTATTGAGTGACTGACTGGCTTTTTTTCTTCTTTGGTAATAACATACATGAAAAGAGTTGTAAAGGGTACATGAGCATTTGTCTACATCAATAACCCACTTCTTGTGATGGCCAAGATTAAACTGATTGAATCTTTGCGCAGCATAAAACGTATGACCATTCGGTACAATTGTCTGAAAATCAAGACTATTACTTTTGGGCTCTATAGCCCTAAAGTCGATTTGACAACTAATAGTCGTTATTTTCCCACTTGAAGACATTTTCAAGCCCCACCTTTTTTAGGGAAGTTCTAAATTAGTATTATCTTTCAAATGCAGTTGGAATTGAACTTTTTCATTTTTTTTTGGCCTGCAAATGGGACATAGTACCTTTAAAAATACAAGATATTCACATTTTTCAGACAAGCATTTTCATGTATAAATATTCTCATAATCAACAACTATCCTTATTTCACAACATTTACAGTTTAAACTCAAACACTCACACATATCCCACCCATTGTTCAACAAATTATCACTTAGAAAATCCTAAAATAATATTAGCCCAAAAGTCAGTAAGACATCATGGACCAGATGTTTGGAACTCCTTACCCAATTTAATAAGGCATTGTTCATCTCTCTATTCTTTTAAAGCATCTCTTAAAAAATCTCTCATATCGAAGTACCTACATAATTGATTTCGACATGCAGTAGGCAATTATCATTCATATCTCAAATATTGGTCACATTAATTGCAACTCATGTTTGCAAATTTCGTATTCTATTTCGTATTCTTGGTTTCCTTTATTGAAAAGGCTACATTTTGTATCCACTCCACCATCCAACAGAGAGTTACGTGCACATCCACTATTCGCTACATATACCAACACGCACGCTTGCGTGCATGTGCACACACACACATACGCACACGCACACACACAGTCACACGCTTACACACACACAATACACACTCACACAGCACACTCATAAACTCATACACAAAGAACGTTTAAACACTTTTTCATTTTAAGTTTTACCTTAAGATTATTTTTTTTTCTTTTTGAGGCCGCCATCCTAGTCAAGCTTTCGCGGTCTCCTGCACTTTTTCAACTGATAGTTTGGATAATACATTAAATTTATAATAATATGTTATAGAAATATTAAGTTTTGTTATTATATGTACAAATGTTAAAAGACAAAAAAACATTTATGATACGAAGTTATCATTGTATGTATATTTTGTATTATACCTTACGTTTATATTATGTTCTTTGTTATTCTGTTATTATAATTGGAAAAATGCAGAAATCAAATCAAATCAAACCTGCCAATGAAATGGAGATCACTCTAAAATATACATGAATACTTATCAAGTCATCATATTGTGTGAATATAGGTGCCCCCATTGCCACCAAGGCCTGTGTCATCAGCTGCTGATACGGCTGCGAAATCCAGGAAGGAACTTGGAGAGGAAAGTACAAAGGTCAAAGGTCAGTACCGGTAATTATAACGTAACTCTTCATGTCATTAAAAAAATTCTAGCAACAAAAGCCTTTTTGATAAGGACTACAAATATACAATTCTTTCAGATATTGAAGAGATTTTAATCTCAAACAGCACAAAGAAATTAATCTGCCAGTGATATTGCAGAATGAGGGGGAAAAAAATATAAATTTTCCTCTGACAACCTTTATCCAACCTACCTTATGTGATGTGATGCTGGACGTGTCTCAAACTGATGTTGTTGTAGTCACTAAGTCTGATGTTCGGAAGTTCTTGGGTAAGGTAAGGTGGCATAAAGTACTAGGGCCAGTATTTCATTTAATACTTGAGTTTGAAAATAAGTATTTTACTTAATCAATTTTGGTATTCAGTTCAAACTTTTGGCTACATGTAAGTATTTTTTTATTTTCCCTTAATTTAAGACAGCTCCCTTAAGCCATTTATTTAGAGGCCTTGATTGACAGGCATAAAGTTTTCTAACACAGTATCATACCTGCGCACAATTATATTCGCATTTATTGCAACGTATAATTGCACATTACTTTTGATGGACCGTGTGACGTCACAATGCTTATCAGTAAGTATTTTACTTAAATTTTTATCTTACGTATGTAAAAGTCTAAATGTGATTTGAATACAAGATGAGTTAAGTTCCTTGCTTGCTTAGTAATTTACTTAATTTGCGTATTATGCCTATGGATGGTGAATTTCATTCACATCATGAATCTACATGACGTTGTTCTTTGAGCAGTATCTCGCTTATTTTTATGCCTCCGTTACGAGGTAGCCGGAGGCATTATGTTTTCGAGTTGTCCGTCCGTACGTACATACGTCCGTCCGTCCGTCCGTACTTCCCGTTCTCGTGATCGCGTTATCTGGAGAACCGATGGATGGATTCCTGTCAAACTTTGGTCATGTATGTATCTTGCAGAGCCGATGAACTGATTAGATTTTGGGGTCACAAGGTCAAAGGTCGCAGGGCTCATTATGTATGCAAAAACAGCTTGTGATCGCGTTATCTCAAGAACCAATTGATGGATTCCTGCCAAACTTAGGTCATGTATGTTACTTGCAGAGCCAATGAACTGATTAGATTTTGAGGTCAAGGTCAAAGGTCATGCGGCTCATTATGTATGCAAAAACAGCTCGTGATCGCCTTATCTCAAGAACCGATTGATGGATTCCTGCCAAACTTAGGTCATGTATGTTACTTGCAGAGCCGATGAACTGATTAGATTTTGAGGTCAAGGTCAAAGGTCTTGCGGCTCATTATGTATGCAAAAATAGCTTGTGATCGTATTATCATTAGAACAGATTGATGGATTCCTGCCAAACTTAGATCATGTATGTATCTTGCAAAGCCAATGAACTGAGTAGATTCTTGGGTCATGAGGTCAAAGTCAAATGTCATGGGCTTATTATGTATGCAAAAATAGCTTGTACATGTACTCACGATATTCTGAGAACCTGTTTATGGATTACAATGAAACTTGAATTTGAAAGATGTCTTCTTTTTTGGTTTATAAACTTGCGCTATGACGGAGGCATCAATTTCGACTGCGCGCAGTCGAGTTCCATCTAGTTGCTCCATATTCCTCTGAATTTTGATATATTATAGCTGAGACTATGGGCTATAGTTATTCAGATTAAAAGACAGACCACCTGAATCGTTTTAATGACGAATTAAATTTCTTGTTTTTACAATTATTTTTATGGCTCCAATCCAAGATTTCAAACTAATTCCATCACAACATTTTCATCATCTAACACCACATCGCCATCACACCACACAATATCTTTTAAGTTATGTGTAGGGTGTAAACTGATGTTTGTCGTATTGTCGTTTGTCGTGTTCGGTGTGCACGGGCCTTAAATTGTAGAGCACCTGGGATCAAGACTTTTACTTTTCCCACCAGTAAATCATATCTATATAAGGATTCCAAGTGGTACAATAAATCAGTGTATGCAATAGCTTTAGCGCAGCACCCGGATGACTGACCAATATTGGTTTTTGTATTGCTCAATCATCTGTATCGATATCGATATCACAAACACACAAACAAAAATCCATATTTACCGAGGCTAGTCAAATTTTGTTAATTCGCTAGTCAGCCTGATAAAGATAATGATAATATTATATGGCTTTGTTTTTTGTGTGATACAAGAAAATATTCTCGTAGCTCGTGCAATATATTCTTGTATCACACTCAATGCCATCCAATAGTATATAAATATCCCTGCCAGTTTCTTCAACACATTGTGGCTAGAGCTTGATTTTCATACAAGAAAGATATTAAAACTTTATCCCTTTTTTCAAAACCTTTTTTTCACTTTCATTAATCAAGTAGGTGATGAGTTCCATAAAGACTGCCGTCATTTAGAGAAGTACCTCAGCCTGGTCATCAAACACAGTACCTTAGGCAAGGATGAAACTCTTGCTAAATTCCTCACAGCAATAGATGTAAGTTAATTTCATTCATGTCATTCATGAGTCATCTAGCAAAGTGTTATCAAATTTACTTATTTGTACTTCTTCACTCAAAACTTTGCCTCTTTCTGTTTTTTCACAAAAAATTTAAGAAGAAGGAAAAGGTAGACACTGTAACATGATCGCTGGTGATTAGAATGTAATCAACCCGTTTGAAATGGTAACTTAACCACTATTTTGCCCCCCATGGCATGGTTGTTAAAGGTATCGTTTAACAATGTTAAATCTGAGATGCATGGCCCTACGTGTTATCAGTGTCTGTGATATGGTGTAATATTGAAGCCCTAAAAAAATTGCAATTTAAAATATCATGAAGTGCCTCAAAAAAGTAAAAATCTTTGAGTGAACGGTTTTACGATACTCGTTTTCCCCAATAGACTAGTGTTATGAAAATTGTTAGGAAAACACAAAATTTGATTTCGATTTCCAATCATAAATATCTTGGTAATCAGAAAAGCCATCGGCTTGTAAAAATCATGGGTTCTTCAATGACCCAGGCCTGATAATTATTCAATTTTTGTCCCGATTTTTTTTTTTTTTTTTTTTGCAGATTTTTTTCCTTCTTCTTCCCGATTTACCCTGATTTTCCCCTTATTTTCCTCTTATTTTCCTGATTTTTTCCCAATTTTCTTACTCAAAAGGGGGGGGGGGGGGGAATACTGTTAGATGCCATTTTTTTTCCCTGAATCCTTTTTTTTTTTACTAAGGAGGGGGGGGGGGATGTGGTGGTTGAGAAGAAAAAAATTATATTTATAATTATCATTGCAGCATAAGCTAAATCCACGGTTTTGTTTCAGAAACTGAGACAAAGTTACCCAATCCCTTTAACCACTTGATTGCTATTGGCTGAAAACGCGTTCATACCGCCTGTGCTACAGCATTTTTGTACTGTACAAAAACTGTTCACTGTACACTAAAAAAGCCGGTATTTTGGGGGAAGAGTGCCATCTACTGTTCGAGACCTGTATAACATCATTGCAGTGCTAATTACACAGTAGGGCTAGGCCTTATGCAGTGCTACGGTCTTGAAAGTGCAATGCACTAAGCACGTACATCTACATGGTGCGCACAGACAAGCAAGAGCCAGAACACATACATGTACATCGTGAGCAGTCAAGTGGTAAATAGCAGGCCCGGGCATTCTGACGTCAAAGGAAGTGATAGGCAAACAAACTTGTTTGTGGTGTCTACAAATTGTGTCTGGCAGCTAGGGTGTGACGGGTGCAAAGATAACAATATTATCTACTGGCTATGCTCTCAGGAAATAATAATGAAAAATACTGATAATGTTGTAAGCGGAGGCATATTTTTCGACTGCGCAGAGTCAATTTTGTTCTTGTTATCCATAACATGATTACATCAGTAGTTTCTGTTTACATTTAAAAAGGATTTTCTACCCTTATAATTATCTGATATTAAAAAGGCATTTTTCAATATCATTTAGTGAAGCATCTAGCATTGCCAATGTTTAAACAGATGAATACAGAATGCATGATATAGAAGTAATCAGGTTTTTTTTACTCTTGTCTGTCTAGCCTCCTATACGTGCCAAGGTGAAGCGAGGTTTATTTTCTAACCTGACCCAGAAGATGTCGGAGGTCATGAAGGGAGGTCACCAAGACACAGACAATGGGTTTCAACATGAGAGAGATAGAGCCAATCAGGTGCTACCTATCATGAGAGATCTTAGTCATGTCTTCAAACTGAGAACAAATCATTTACAAAGTAAGCTTTTCTTCCTTTTATCATTAGTCTACCTATACCGATCAGTCATAATTTAATGTCCAGGATCTGTCGTGCTATAAGGACTACCGGTACAGTTTTCATTAACATGAGACCTAGACTGCCGTTTTCAAGCTTGTTTAGTGTGGGATTGATATATTTTTCACTTGCAAAAATAGATTCTGTGCTAACCAATGAGCCTACAGGAACTTTTTCTTCTGCATTCCTGTTATAACATGTGTACAACAGGTCATTGGAGCATAATTTTTTCGCCCCAAGATCATTCCACACAAACTGCACGCACAGTGAGTGATGTTGCATGAGCGCTGGCACGTTAGAAGCGGAAAGCTCTCATAAATTTAAATTATTGGCAATATTTGGGCAGAGAAAATCTAGACCTAACCAGCTATATTTGTAAATGTGTGCTTCCCCGATACTCTCTACCCTAAATGTTTCTTCTAAGCCTGAGTCATTACGGTTTTTGTGCTAAACGGTTAACCGTTAAAAGTATACGGGCGGTTTCGTTTAACCGTTTAATAATAATCTGAAAAAGTGAAAATACAGTATTTTTAATAGTGCTGTAGCTCGGAACCCTGCTGGTCTTCAGACTGTCGGGCTGAGCATTCCCAGCCCCGGACTATGGCACAAATTGGGTCATCCTGATAAACAGAGACCAGTAATAAACAACATAAAACATGTCTTATTATTCCTCATCTGAATTTGATATCACGATTAACCTTGCAAAGTTACTCTGTGAAGTTAGCTGATCTGTGACGTGTTTATATATGCCTTTGCAATGCAATGTTTGCACATGGTCAGGGAGAGAGCTCCCTGCATGTATCATTGCCATATGAAATTATGTGGAAGTGTGTATCACACACACCCAAGACACACCCTGCAATGAGCTGATCCAAGTTAGTGACCAATCAGGAAGGTTCTCTAGCTATGTGGGTGGAGTTTGATACCAGCATAAATTACAGGTTGGTGACCGCGCGTGCTTTCACCGTACCCAGTTCAGTGGGAGGTCAAGAAGCCACGCCCACATGTGTGCATGTGACAAGCATGAGCTCTCCATCTGTGTGTATGTACAGTGTATTTGGGCGCCGGAGGTTTGTGTGTACATGTGTGTGTGACTGAGAGAGCATGCATATGGGCTAGCATGTCCCTGCATGTCCCTGCATGGACGAGGCAGGGACATGAGTGAAGAAGTAAGAAGTGAGACTAGATAGAAAGGGTGGCTGTGTTAATCGGCTGAATTGAAGAATGATCAAAAACTTAAATTACTCACAAATAATATCCAAGACTTTGTTGATTGATATTTCTAAAACTTCAATTATTATTGTTATCAATATTTTTGTATTTTATTTATATATGAACATTATTTTAGGGGGCGAGTCGGCAAGGGATGGATATTAATATTGAGAGAGAGAGAGAGAGAGAGAGAGACTCGGGGGAGAAGGGATGTGAGAGGAACTGACCATCGAATGTGTAAACATTTAGAAAGTTGTGAGCTGAGAGTGCAGTAATAAGAAAAGGTACATGAGCGATGAACACATTGCAGAGAGAAGGGAATAAAGAGGGTGAGAAAAGAGAGAAGGGGGCTGGTTGTTTTATTGTTTACAAATTCATTCATGGGGATTACTGCTGCCAGAAAGCTAGCGCACAGCGGCCAGGGTGTAACATTACACTGCGGTTTCTTTGATTATCTTTATCATCGGCTATTAGCACATTCCAAAATGTATGCAAATAACGGTTAACCGGAGCGAGAAATGCTAAACGGTTTTGATGAATGCGGTCGGATAACCGTCGGTTAAACGGTTTGACTCAGGCCTAGTTTCTTCCTTGGCTCTTCTGAATACTTCCACCAATCAGTCTACTGTTGAAAGACAGTAATTAAAAAAACTCTAGTTACACTGTTTCACCAATCACGTTTAGCAAACAACCCATTGTCGTCAACAATTCGTCATCCCTTCACCGTTATGCAATCCTTCATATCTGTGAAGCACTTTTACGACATAACGAAAAGCTGTCGTTAAATTATAGCCCACCATTATAACACAGGAACCAATGTAAATCAGGTGGGGTATCACGACCCCACTTTTGTTTCCCTCGTTTAAACTTGGACAGAGCCTTGCAGCTCTGCGTGAGAGATTATGAAATAGAGTGGTGAAGTGTGACGTCATCAAAAAATCTATTTTTTGGAATTTCTCAATTTTTTCTTCATTTTCATAACATTACGAGCCAGAGCAATATAACACTGAGTTCCTATAGGACATCTATTTATTCAGATGGTCATATCTCAGCCAATACTTCACATATTCAATTTGTTTTTGACTTTCAGACATTATTTTTGATGCTCTTTTGGAAAATGAATAACAAATTGAGATATTCTGAAAATATGTTTTTATGATGTCACAGCTTTGGATTGTGTCTGTACTCTTCATCATCTTAGTGTACAAACAAACTCTTACTGGGGCTTAGTCTGAAAGGAAATGAGAAGTAGGAAATATATGTTTTACTTGTTTCAAGATATTTTCATGTCCAAAAGTCACTTATAATTTAGATGAAGACCAAAATAAAAGTCGGTCGAAGCAAAATGACCGAGAATTGGCGATATAACAACAAATTTAACTGTGACAATTAGCACTCTTTCTCCCTTCCTCTCTCCCTCTATCATGCTTTTCTCTCTCTATCCCTGTATATCACCCCATCAGGGTCTCGGGGGGGGGGGGGGGGGGGGGGGTGATTACATTGAATAACGCTAGTGTTTACCTTCGGCTTAGCTCTAGGAGTATAGTGAAAGTTAAATGGGGGTTTCAATTTTAAACAACTAATGTTTGTCATGATGTTTGTACAGAGAAGTTTTTGTCTTGCCCGTGTAGCAAAAAGCGAGACATAGGCGCCGCTTTTCCGGCGGCGGCGGCAGCGTCGGCGTCAACATCAAAAACTTAACCTAAGGTTAAGTTTTTTAACTTTTGATATTATTTTAAAAGTAAAAGTCCTTATTCAATGAAACTGGGACTATAGGGTTATCAAGTATCCCCAATTATGTGAGTAGAATTTAGGTCACTAAGTTAAGGTCAAAGGTCATTTTAGGTCAACAAACTTTTTTGTGGCATCAACATATGACACAAATTGCAGGTCACAAGGTCAAAGGTCATTTTAGGTCAGTAGACTTGGATTATGTTTTCACAACTTAATATGAGAATAAATGAATCAATTTTTGTTATTTGTTCATGATTCTTAGTCAATATTCACTTCAAAATACTGATTACATTCAGAGCCTGCTAATGGGCCACCCTGCCTATAAATAATGTTCTAACCTCAATTTTTCATCATATCGAATTGCGTAATGCAGGCGAGACCACCGAGAGCGTTTCCCTTGTTAAAGTTTTTAAGAAGAAGTTTTTTTATCACACATCGTTACACCACACTTGCATTATGTACTCATAGCACACTCTCCTCTCGAACTTATCAGTTTTTTTAAAGTGTTGTTATATAGTGGTACAGGTGTATATGCGCTTAAATTTCAATCCAAGAGTTGAGACTTCTACAGGCATGAGAATCCTTCGCGTTTCAGTGGTTTTTAGTGTTTTTAATGCCAAAATGTGTCCTCTCTGAGTTCAATGTAAATCCGGTATAAAATTTGGGGGGTAGAGGTTGTGCAGGGTGATGTATTTTGTACGTAAATTGAGTTATATACTAGCTTTAAAAAACCAGAGATCGTCTCTCAAAAGATGCATTTTATAAACACGATAGCATGATAAGCATGATAGCAATAATTACGGCGCCTGTAGCTGTATAATGACATCATACACAAAGCAAAGTCGCTCGCTTGTAGACGAGAAACATTTACGTAATTTTTTTGGAAATTGACCAATCAACGACCCCGTATTGTAAGCCTCATGGCATTGCATGCACGATCTGAAAAAACTGACATGAGCGCATGCACGGCGGCCATGTTTGCTTACGAATTACAATCATAATACACTGAGTGCGTGAACTTTTTTGTAAAATAAATCCTTGATTATCGGAAGCATCCGACTTCAAAATGCAGTGGATTTTGGACTGAAGGGAAGAACACATCGTACAAAATTAGGACAAAGATGTTAAAGATAAATGGACGTGGTCTTGGTTAGATAAAGATGTAGAAATTACACTCCCAGGCAGTACCGAAAAAAGTTAAATGTAATGTCGCGATTTCGCTAGAAAGTTAGATGTACCGGGCTAGTCTATGTGCATTCTTTGATGTTTAACATAACAGGTAACTCCCGAAGTGCAAAATTACATTGAAAGTTCTTTGCAAATGCCAGTTTTAAGTACCTACCTAAATTGCCCTCTGCTCCCTTAACCCCCCTTTTTCACCTTGCCTTCGGCTCCGTTTGATCATGTTTTTAAATATTTATAATTTTCATTTTTTTTTCAACAAACTCCATTCTTATGCCTGTTCTAATGGAAGCTTGGCACTAATGTCCCTTGGTATGACATTAATCCCATTAATTTGCCACTCTCCACCCATGTGTTTAAGTACAAGGCAATTACTGGAATAATCATAATTGCAATGCATTCACGATTGTTGAGTGTGGTGGAAACATTTAGATTGACATGTGGACATGTTTTGCATGATATGTGAATTTGTGTCTGCCATGAGAGGCTTTCACGTTGTTTCATGTCATTGTATCCCCTTTGGATTCATATTCTTGTGTGCACTCTTACTGCCACATTCCTTGACAGATTTCTTTCAAATTTTGTATGAGAGGTGTATCTTGGTATATTCTATACAGTACACACCTATAATTGTTAGTGATGCTGCCCCAGTGTTCCGTTTTCTATAGGGTTAAAAGTCATATTATGATAGATGTCTTGTGTGCACTCTGCAGACCACATTTCTTGATGAATTTCTTTCAAATTTTGTATAAAAAACAAAAAGAACAAATTTAAGATGTAAAACGATGATAAAACTATAAAATGTTGATCCAATATAAAGATCGATGATCCCAAAA